CATGTCTGAGTTCCCTCATTGTGTCACTTCACTTTGCACAGACAAGTATTAAGTAATGAGAAGAAACCTTGGTAAAATTTTCTCTCATAGCCTAGTTATGAGAAGATGTGGATAAGTTATTTGAATAAATAACTCACTCCTACACATGTCTTATTGAAGTATAATCCAGGCTTAACAATGAGCAATATTATTGATACTCTATCCTTGGTCTCATGTAATGTCATGGTCTTGTTCAGGGGTGTCCAAACTACGGCCCGCGGGTACCGTTTTTATTGGCCCACAGCAAATTCTGAAAATATAATTGAATATGGCCCGCACAAGAACTTTGAGCTCAACTCTATTGCAGTTCTCAGTTTCAACACTGGATAGAGCCAGCCACAGAAACGAAATTATAGAGAAGAGGAGAAGAGAAGAAGAACCCTTTCGTGACTGTGACACTGCGTTCAGTTTGAGTCTCCAGAAATGGCGGTGAGCGACAAAGCTTGTGGTTTAGATTTTTACTCGATAGCATGCGATCAGAGCACGGATGCCACAGACACCGCGCAACTGTTAATTTTTTGCGGCAAGTAGATGATAATTTTTGCTTTACGGAGGATCTGCTTGATATGATGAGCCTAAAAGGAATAACGACAGTTTTTAAAAGACAAGGGCCAACCTCTTCGTGAACTAAGTGACCTTCTGTGGCTGGCAGACCTGGCATTTTTAGTTGACCTTACACATCATCTGAATACACTGAACAAGAACCTACAACGCAGAGAACAGCTGGTGCCACAACTGTATGTGCACATGAAAGTCTTCTGCGTAAAGCTCCGCCTGTTTGAGACACAGCTACGAGGCTTTAATGCTGCACACTTTCCTGCGCTGTCTGAAATCAAGTCTGCTTTTCCAAAGACCGATCTTTCTGCTAAAAAGGAGAAATACTGTATACTGTATGTCTGTGATTAAATCTCTCATGACAAAATTCAACCAGCGTTTCCAAGATTTTTCTGGAATTGAAGAACAAATCAAGCTGTTTTCAACCCCCTTCCTGGTGGATGCAGACTAAGTGGAAGAGTGTCTGCAGTTAGAGCTGATTGAAATGCAATGTGATGATTCTCTGAAGAGTCAACATCAGCTTCTCTCCCTCCCTGAATTCTATCAGAGTCAGTGGTGAGTTTGAAATACACACATTATTGATGAATGAATGTATCTCACAGTAAAACTGATCCATTTATGTTTTCATTATTTTACAGAAAATGGTGTGAAGGACAGTTAACTCACTTGACCTTAAAACCCCCTCGATACAACTTTATCCCCCCACCCCCCTTGAACCCATGCGAAGACTAACCACAGTGACCTTATGCCCAATAGGTGAGTTAGAAATACACACATTATTGATGTATCAAGTTTGTGGCCCGGCCATTTGTTTATTTTTCTGTATTTGGCCCTCACTAAAAAAAGTTTGGACACCCCTGGTCTTCTTAAACCCATTAAGCATGATAAAATACTGTATTTGCACATTGGAAGTCATTAAAAGCTGACATTGTGTTTCTTCAAGAAACTCACATAAAGACCATCCAACAGAGAAAACTTAATCAGATTTCTCAAGCTCATTCATCTTTTATTTTTAAAAATAGAGGTGTAGCAATCCTCTTTCACAAATCTGTGCCTTTTTGGTTTCAACCATGTATAACAGATCCAAATGGTAATGAATGTGTATGGAAAGAAGCTGGAGAGTAAACTGCAGAGGAACAATATCAGAGATGTGTGATCAGGCATGAAGATAAGCTTCAAGCAAAAGGAGGATCGGATAGATGAAGTTTGGACAGAGCAAATGAGCTGAACACATTCTTCAACAGGTTCAGCTCAGGAACAAGCTCATCATCCTCCTCTCCTGCCCCCAGCCAAATAGATATCCCACCCTCCTTTGACCCACAGCTTTCCTGTCAAACCTCATATGTTTTATCTTTGACCCCAGTCATGGACTCTTCTGCTTCCACATGTTTGTCTTCAACCAAATCTGCCGTTCCCTTTTCCTCCCCCTCCCACTTTTCTGTATCTACAACCAGGGCCGGAGTGGGACTCATTTTCAGCCCTGGAGTTTGATGCCTCCGACCGGCCCAAGTTGTTTTTATAACCTTTAAATCTGTAAAGCCTTGTAATTCAGTGTATTTTARAAAAATATTTCCAATTCAGTGCAATTGGTGATGCTTCGTAATGTAGATTTATTTCAACATAATTGCACATCTCTAGAATTATTATTTACAACACATCCTTTCCAACATTATCAGAATCTAGGCTATATTTTGTTCAAATAGGCACAGTGAAATAAAAGAATAAATAAAATATTCAATTAAAATTTTTTTTAAAAAGTGTTGGACTTCTAATAACACTATCAGCTCTTTTTCCTCAAGGAAACAGTTCCGTCATAACTTAGATTTTACAATGAGAACAAGTTAAATCTCTACACTATTCTTTACATCAGAATTTCATTTTATGTCATATCAAATATCAAACAAATTAGTGTTTGCAGATATCTAATCCTTGTGAATAAAGAATAAAAACATATTCCACTGTTCTTCAAGTTTGCTATAATGTCCCATTTTTTAAAACAATAAATGTATTTTTTGTGTCACTTCAGTAGAAAATGAAACCAAATATTAGTTTATTTATTTCTTCAGCATCAGTGACTTTTTTTAAGTGAAGAGAAAATAGAAACAGAGAGAAAAACAGAGAGAGAATTAGAAAGATAGAAAGATTGAAATAGCGATTAGAAGTATATTAAATATACACCAACAAAACAAAACAGGACCACACACCCAACATCTGTCCGCTCACCTGAAAAATAAATGGATAAATATATGGAGGGCATATATGAATACAGTATATACACATACCCATACATATATAAAGATATACGTACATACATACATGCCTACATTCATAAATATTGTCAGTATATTCACACAGACATATACTGTATACACACTCAGTGACCAGTCAGAACCCCCCGGATCAGAACACCTGTCTGTGAGCAGTTGTGAACATGCGTGTATATACAAGATTTCTCCAATAGAATATTTAATAGTGACTGTGGAGGACCGAGACCCAACCCCCAAGACACGAGGCAGACATAGGGAAGACCAGAGCCCAATGGCCCGAGAGGGATCCCGAGCGCAGAGCCCCAAGGGGCACCCGCATGGGAAGATCCGCCCACCCACCCCCCAGATCAGACCATAGGGGAGAACTGGGGGGAGAAACCGTTCTCTTTCCTCCACTTACTAGATTCTTGTTCTCCCTCATCCTTGTGTCTCGAGTTTAGGTGTGCTGCCTCACCAGTTTTTGTTTTTGTTTTTGTTTTTGCATTAAACCAATTCTTTAATATTTTTTGAGTCCTTTTTATGTCTGCTTCCTGGGTTCAGACCACCTTTAGGTCTCACCCTATATGACTCCACTCCACTGCGGTGTGCAGTTCGCAGCTGTTAGTTTCCACACCAATTAATACATTGTCCACTTCACTCAGCTCTGCTGCAATAAATCTAGTGATAAATGTGGAAATTGGGGCAAAAAATTATTAATTCTGTGAAAAACAAACTCCAAACACAGCTGAAAACATAGTTAAAGGTTTTTGAGGTCTATGATTGAAACTGTATCTGCCGTCTTTTTGAAACTTCTGATTTAAAAATAAAATACACATATGCTTCATGCTACATGTTGCCACCTGCTTCCCAAACAGAACGATACATTATGACAGCCTTTGTGTAGAAAATTGTCCATATATTGATTTATATAGCTTGGATTTTGACAAAATTATTCCGCCTTTTGGTGACTTATTTTGAAAATACGGAAGTTGCGCTTGTTCCTTTTCCTGTTGGTGCAACATGATCTTTGTAGATTGACTCCGGAGCAGCTCCAGCATCTTGCAAAAATAGTATTGGATCTAATTTTGTCAGAATGCCATCGGCGCACCACTGCACTGCACCGCAGTGTGGAGCCAGTGTAAATAGTCTCACTGATTATAATGGTTGTGTATTTGCTGCTGAGGTCGGACGGCAGAGCAGCGGAGTGGAACAGCTTCTAGTGTAAATTAGGGGTTACAAAAGAATCCATCCATAAATGGACCCTGCAGACATCTTTTTTGAACAACTGGTCACATTTAATCTTTTCTCTTTAGAACTACGAGAAATCAGCCTTCAGATAAAGAAACTGCTCCACTATGCCTCTGCTAATCAGAACCTAAATACAGACTGTTAATATTCAACCTCTTGGACAATATTCAGTCATATACCCCCAAACTCAATTAAATTTCAATTCAATTCAAAAATTTATTAATTTCATTGAAACATACTATATACAATAATAAAAAATAAACCAAAAAAACTATATACAAATCAAAATAAAATGAAAGGTAGCAGAAGAAGAATAAATCTTATTTTGTCTGCCCCTTTTCGACCCAGAATATATTCAAGCGAAGCATGATTTACAAAACAATGATAACATAAAATAAAAAATAGAAATAAAACAACATAAAAACATCAGCTCAAACAACAAATCAAATGGCTTCACATTTTACTTTTCACATATCTTCAAAGAACCAGCTTTTATCTGTCTCTTAATTATATACATTGATCTAGCATTTTTAAGATCATCTTCCAGACCATTCCACAATCCTATACCCTGGATTAAAGTACATCTTTCTTTCAAGCAAGTATGAAAATATGGCTTCACAAACATTTCCATCCCCTTTAGATAATAACAACTGTCTCTCTTAAAGTTTACCTGAATGTTGGAAGGTAATATGTTACTGTGAGCCTTGTACATAAACAGTAAAATATTGTAGTCAATCAAGTCATAGAATTTCAAAAATTTCAGTTTACAAAATAATGTATTTGATGGATGTTGTAATCTTTTCTCGCGATAATTCTTACAGCTCTTTTTTGTAAAACAAAAATCGGATTTGTAATTGTTTTGCAAGCTTTACCCCAGATTTCAATACAGTAAATTAAATGTGGAACAATTATTGAATTGTACAACACAAGCAGAGCCCTGTCATTGAATAACTATTACTTAGTTCTCTCACATCTACAGACCTGCCAGTTTCACCTTCAACCATTTCAGTTCTTCCAGCAGTCATTCCTCAGCCCTCACACAACTTCTAGTCCACACAGATGCAACTGAAGAAGGACACTGGCTCCCAGGATTGTCCCAGCTGTACCTGAGCCAGCTGGTCTGCTGGTCAGCCAGCACCTGTATCCTTCTTCAAAGGATCTACAACACTACCTCATGCTGTTTCAGCATTACTAGGTGGGAGGAGGTGGTCTCCACAGCCACTGTAGCCTCCAAGGTGGTCTGCATGCCCACTGCAGCTCTCCCTGTGGGTTTACATTGAATAAATTCTTTAATTATATTTTTTGAGTCCTCTTGATGTCTGCCTCCTAGGTCCAGACCAGTTTCAAAAATACTTCAAAGGGGACCTATTATGCAAAATTCACTTTTTAAAGGTTTTTTTTTTACTCAACTTTGGGTATGTACTTCTTAAAACAGTCCTAGGACCAAAAAATGCACCCAGGGGCATATTTACTGTAAGTAAATGTATTTTTAATGTATATTAACAACAAGTTTTTTACTTCCGTTATTTTGTGATGTCACAAGCCGTACGACAACCCACCGGAACCTGTGTTCAGCCCCTTACCTTTACCTAGCAACCCCCGGGTGAGACTCCACCTCTTCAATATAAAAAGCCGTCACTGTGTTGTTGTGCAATGCGCAGCTCAGTTCACAACAAGCCTCCAATAGGGCAATGGGTCGAGTGTTGGACGAGAGGGTGGGAGACCAGGGTTTGAGACCAGCATGGACACAATTAAATGTTTTTTTTCGTTCGTTATGAACACATTTTTCCATGTACCTCTATTGTTTAGCTTATTAAAGCCTTGTTAAAGCCGATTTGTTCGAGTTTCTGAGGTATTTTCACTGCTGCTGCTGCTGCTCCCTGCTCTGGTAACAGCATGCAGAGTGAGCGCAGAGCAGAGGAGGTAGAAAAAAAAGAAGCTGCGACCGACTCTGCTTCTGGGTCTCTCATATGGTTGTACAACGGAGCTTCTGCTATTATTAGCCATGCTAACGTAAACGCTGGCTTTGGAGGGCGGAGTTGATGTCAACAGATTTTTGGAGGGCGTTACCAACAGAGCTCATTAACATAAACAGCTCTTCTGAACGGAAGTCAGAGCAGGCAGAACTAGAAAATGGGAAATTTTATTATCTGAGAATTATTTTGTGCATTCAATTGAATGAACATGGTCTGGATAGCCCACAGACATACCATAAAAATTTATAGGACCCATAATTGTTCTCCTTTAAAGTACAAGAATAGATTCAAGTAATCACTCAAAAGAGTTCAAGTTACACAAAATTCATACCTAATTACATAATGCAAGCAAATGCAATTTACTACTACCCTGTAAACAGCTTGTTGTTGAAGAGGCAGTTTTCATAAGCCCTAAAGCAGTGGACCTCACTTAAAATTCACCAGTATAAGCTTTTCTCTAGAAAAAATCTAGAATATACAAAATATAATTGTCTTTTACTAACAGTAATATTTGTTTACTTCATTACTGTCTTTTCAGGCCTGCACCTCTTTGTGGGCTGGAAGATTCTCTCTGCAGAGTAAAATAGAGAGAAACTGTAGGCCAGATTTTCTTTACAGTAAGTAAAACGACTTTCAGATCAGTTGTTTCTGGATCACTGGCAGATCAGTTCACCAGTCATCATTGATGTAAAACAGATGCCTCTGCTTTTTGCTTTGCTGGACAGCTCTGTGTTGTGATTCAATTCATTTTATATTCTGACAATTTGTCACAGCAGTTTAGCTGCTGTGATCCAAACTTTTTAAAACATACCCATTAATCCATCCATGTTGTTTTTACCCACGTCTCCTTTCAGGTGCATGGAGGAGCTGGTGCCTATCTTTGGCAGTCATTGTTTGAGAAGTGCAAGTCATTCACAGGGCCACATTCTCCACACTCACTCACACCTAGGGATAATTTAGTTATCAGTTAATCTAACATGTATGTCTTGGTTTGTTTGAGGAAATCCCAGTACCCTGAGAAAACAATGTTTTCCTTACTGTTGAACAAGGAAGATGGCCATCCCTCCCAACAGAACAACTCACCCTGTGCCGACGAAAACTCTGTTACTTCTGGATGGGATGGGGAGCAAAGAGCCCTTTCTTCTCCATTTGCATGCTTTAGTATGGGCCAAATGTGTCTCCATTTTAAACAAAATGGCCACACACCTGAGCAAAACTAGAGTTAATAAGACTTGACCACAAAGAAGGAGCAATATCAACACAGTGTTGTGTCTGCTCTACATCCCCACCAGCAAAGGATGAACAGAGAAACCCATCTCCCATCCATAAAATTGAAGGGTTGTATTAATTACAAGAGTAAATTTAGATTTTTTTTTTTTACTAATTTACTACCGCAATAAGTTTAAATATTTTCTCAAATATAGAATATGTTTTCACGTAGATCAAACCATAGTTTTTTTTTTCTTTTTTTTTTTTGGGGGGGGGGGGGATTCACACAAGAGTCAGAAAAACTATTTTTTGTTAACTGCTGCGGAGACCAAAAGAAGATGTGGACATCCTCTTGCCCCTAGCCTGGTAAAAACCAGACCCTTGTCCTTCACTTTGCTTCGTATGAGGGCCTGGACTCTCAGCTATAGAGAAGCAATTCTTGCTGGAGATGTGGCTTCTGTTGAAGTTTAAAATGATTGGTTCGGTTGGCTGCGACATTTGTAGCCATCTCCACTGTGAAGGAGGCTAAGCTAAGAAGCTAACCCGAAATCTCGTGTGCTGTAAACAACCCTACTGAGAAGAGAGAAGTACCTAGCCGAAAGAGACGGCTGTAAATGAGAGCTGCAGACTTTGTCAGACAAAAGTAATTAAATGTGGAAGCCTTATCAACGTAGACTGGCTTCATTCACTTCCTCCATAGCCGTATGCTAAACTAACTAGCAGATACTGCGCAGAAAATTGACGTCATTCAAAACTCCACCTTCTGTTTGCTGATTGGCCCAGGTAAAATAAACTACAAGCAGACACTGCACAGTAAATCTATGTTCTCTTCTCTGATTTGCCCGGATGAAAATCTCCTGAAGAAATCCTTGTCTATGGGAGAAATCCCAGACGGCGCAGTGAAGGGAAACTAGAATTGAGCGGAACTGCGTAGGAAGGCAAGGGCCAGGCACTTGCCCCTAAGTCTATCTTGCTAATTTAACAATCAGATTCTGCTCTGGCAGTGCAGCCGATCATTTTCAGCAGCTTGTGGAAGCTCAAGTATATGGCAGGCCATGTTTTACATCTTAACCACAATTACATTCCAGGTATCTGAAATTGGTTTTATGACTAGACTTATTTGTTACTTTAACTAATACAGACTTTTCCATGTTCTGCAATATATATTAAAAAGCTGCACACTCTTCAATAAATACTAGTAATATTACTGCTGTCGATCATTATGTGTTAAATTGTTTTCTTTTCTATGGTTCTGTTAAATGTTGAAGCAACAACTATGCTGGAAGTTGTGCATCGTGTAACTTGGATTCATGTGCAGTAGATGGTGAACAAGGATCTTGAGTGTTTGTCGGTCTCTGTATTTTAGAAGCTGGTGTGAAGTGGTGAATTCTATCAGACAGGGATATCTGTGCCCTTGTTTACTCAACTCATATCCTACTCCCCACAATCAGCCAGAAGACAAATGCTGTCTGGAAACTTGGCAAACATGCCGGAAATGAGATTTGTTATCTCGCTTCTCAATTTTGGCTCCACTGGCATACAAATTTCACAGCAGGGATTTGTGTGTGTTTCTCGGTCTGTCTTTGCTCACACCTGTTTATCTCGACATTATTGTCTTGTTAGCCAAGTGTTTTTATGATGTAAATTTGCAAGTGGACCCTTGAGTGCATCCTTTATAAAAAGCAGCTGTGGTGTATCAAATAATCAGAACAACAGTGTCTCGGTGGACAGCAGGGGCGTTTTTAGGCTCTTGAAACATCATGGGCTTTAGCCCAGACCTCTTCTTCTTCCTCATCCCTCTTTAAAATTGCTCTTTCATGTCTGTATTTATCCATTTTCAAAACTATTGTTGTTATATGTTGTTTAGTTGATCATTATATTAGTTACTGGATAAAATTGATTTATATATAAAATGTGTAGGATATAACATCATGTGCTGTTACAAATAATTTCTGTCAGCAGTAAGGAGCAGTTATGAAAACTACATGTTGCTGATATTTCATTTTTAAAATCAACTAAATGTGCTCTCACATTATTTGCTTATTTTATGTAACAAGAGAAGATCTCAAATTTTAACCCAGGCTCCTCTGTTTTTTTTTATTCTAACAGAGATGAACAGCTCTTACAGAACTGTTGTGTTCTGGTACATGCAGATATTAGTACCACAGAGGAAAGTAAAGTCACCAGATAGGAGGCTGATTGCAGCCAGACCATCATTTGATCATTGCCAGAATCATCTGCTGTAATAGTAACTGCTCCAACACCTCAACTAAATTCAACTAAACATCAGATCATTCATGGTGACAAAACAGTATAACTTAAAAAATCAAGATTGTACATATATATTTAATTTAACWAGTTGTATAGAAATGATTTGTAGTGATAACAGTAAGTTTCACCTAGGAGCACCAGCAGAACAAAGTGAGTCTAGTAGGGTTCAGATGCTGAGACCCCAGAAATTTTTGAAAAAATATACTCAAAACTCTGCATTTTCCAGCCATTTGAAGTGCATTTTAAGAGATGGCCACCCCTTTACAAAAACATAAACCTTTACAGTATGATATGGTTCTTGCTGTAAATATCATATTAAATATCTTCATAGTCTACATGGTCTTTGAACTGAACTTTATCTAAGATCATGTTTGAAAATTGTGCCCTTATATTGTTTTTGTTTAGGAAAGCCCTGAGAAACTTACTGACACAGAAAAACTACAAAAGTAAAAGAACTTGTCCTTACACTGTTTGGTCCAGTCTTTATGGTGGCTCTCCATCAGGAATGTAAAATTTCCAGTAAGGGTGACCAGATCCTGAAACAGTGAATGTGGGACAAAAAGCTGAGAGACAATGTGCACCTCATCAATGTTATGATGTCATAACTTTAAATTTATTATAGCTCCCACATTACATTAATTATTCTCTGTTTTGACTGTTGGTGCACAATGGGCCTCATGCAAGAACATGTTTGTATTCTTCTCCTAAATTTCTCTTACTTTTGTTCGTACAAAGGGTTCGTATGAACATGCCACGTCAGATTCAACAAACGCTTCTTATCTTCAGGAAAAGTGTGTAAATGAGCTGCGTAAACATGATGAATTCCACCTGTTCTATCCAGCTGTTCGTGCATGCGGAGAGGAGATTAGCATAATTACCACCCCAAAAACACCATATAAGGCTATGTTTCCTGGCTCCGATATCCGGAACTGTCCATTCATGAAAATGACGACGAAAAGTAAAAAGAAGAAATTTACAAGTTCAGAGATTGAAGTCCTGCTGTCAGAGATCGATAAAAGAAAATCTGTCCTTTTTAGCAGCGTAAATCGTGGAGTTAAAGGACCGACTAAAGCCAAAGAATGGCATGAAATAACTGCTGCTGTTAATTCTGTGTGTCTCCTGTGGGCCGTACAGTCGCCGAAACAAAAAAAAAGTGGTTTGATTTGAAAATGGCTTCAAAAAAACGTCTCGCCACAGCACGGTGCTCAATGACTGCAACAGGAGGAGGTCAAGGTAAGGTCTGCGTTACCGACATGGATGTGAAAATAAATGCCATAATGGGTGAGGTTTGTGTGTCAGGCATTCCATCGGAGGATGTTCCCCTGGACACCGACTTACACCAACCTGGATGTGAGGATATGGCCAGTACACCTGACAGTAATGGTAAGTATAATTAAAAAAAGACCGTATTTTATTTAAATGCGTCTTAACTGACAGTGTGAAAATCAAATCATTTTAATTTATCTGTAGTCTTGCTTTTGTTTCCCTTTGGTCACATATTTAAGTTATGTTGAAGAAATGGTAAAACAAATGTGTTAATTTTCTTTTATTCAGAAGAGGAGCACATGGAACCGCAGGCCGGACCAGCTGACGTGTCAGCCCCCCGCCGTCTCCCACGCACACAAGTGGTATCAGATGCCATTCTGAAAAACCAAGAAAGCCTTTTAAAATGTCTGGAAACTATGTCTGGCACTTTGGAAAAAAATATCTGACAGTCTGGCACGCATAGCTGATGTGCTGACCAAATCTCAAAATAAAATGTGAATTTAAAAAGTCCAAGTCTGAATYAAGCTGTTCATTATATTAAATTAATTAGGCTACAACATCATGGCCTGCCTTAAAGCCGTGCAATTAACTGCTGTCTTGTGATGACTGCATTTTCCTGGTGTGGTCCGTGTGGGGGGTCTTGTGGCATTTCTTCTGCTGGTGCTGGATCGGGGAATGGAATGCCTTCCTTCACTGCAATATTGTGCAATATGCAGCATGCCAGAATAATTTGGCATGCCTTCTCCGGTGTGTAGAGCAGCTTGCCACCAGCGGTATCAAGGCACATCCACCGGGCCTTCAAAACGCCAATTGTGCGCTCGACTACGGCAAAAGTGCGCGTGTGCAGCTGGTTATACAAGCGCTCCTGTCTGGTCTGAGGGATGGTTAATGGTGTCATAAGCCATGGGGCTAATGCATAGCCTCGATCACCTGTGGGAAATAGTGAATTATAGGTAAATGGTTAGAAAAAAATTTCCTCAGTTATAAATTAAAAAGTTACTTACCAACAAGCCAGCCATCTCCATGCGCACCTTGCGCAAGACGCATGCCAACTGCGCTGTTTTGCAGCACAAATGAGTCGTGCGCTCCTCCTGGCCATCTCGCAACCACATTTAGCAGGTTGTACTTTGAATCTGATATAATTTGCACGTTGATGGAGTGGTATTGCTTCTGAGGAATGGGAATGCGTCAGGTGAAGGGGCTTTGATCCATATATGTGTACAATCTATTGCTCCGAGGGTGTTTGGCAGTCCAGCAA